GAAATGCATCAACATAAGTCTTTACTATAATTTTAGTAATTTTTGTTCAAAAACACGTACTCCCTCCGTTTTTAAATAATTGCTCAATTTCTCCATGTGCAGAGTTTTAGGAGAAATTGAAAAAAGTAATATAATATGGAGGCAGTGGGGTAGGTGGAAGAATAAAAAAAATTGTAAAAAGCAAAAGTAGTTGAGAGAATTGGAGGAAAGAGAATATGAAATTAATAAGATATGATTTATGTTGGGTCCACTAGTTGAAAGAAATGAATTAAATATTGTAAAAAACTTTCCAAATAAGGAAATAGAAAAACGACCAAAAATGAAAAGTTGAGCAAGTACTTAAAAACGGAGGGAGTAAGTTAAATCAGTATATTTTTCACTTTTTTTTTCTTTTTTTTGTTTGTACAGCGAAGAAAATAGTTTCAGAGATGGAAAACAAAGATTCTGGAAAGATGTAAGCATTAATAAAATTGATTCGTAGTGAATTTTATCTTTTGATAAATGTTCATTTCCATTTTGATAAATGCTCATTTATACATTAGTATACTATCATTTACATGTCTTTTATTTAATTTTTTTTTTTTTAATTAACTATCATTCACATATTAATAGATGATTAATATAAATGCTCATTTATTTATTAGTCCACAGTCATTCATTTTTTCATAGATTGAAGTGGAAAATTATGTTGAAGTATGTTCATTTTTATTTTGGTAAATGTTCAATCACATAATACTACATGGTCATTCACAATTTCACATATTAACATACAGTTATTAGAATTTTGATAAATGTTCATATTTTTTTGTTATCTACATTTCATGTACATTTCAATTTTGAATTATTTTAATATATGTCTTTTCTCATATGAATATATGGCCAATCACATATTGATAGCTTCAAGAGTTTACTCACGTATATATTTCATGTTCATCGATTGTTATCTTTCATGCATGATCATTTTCAAACTAATATATGCTCATTTATAAAGTAATAGATGTTCACTTTCATATTGAATTACGTAAATATGTTCATTAATGTATTAATAGTTGTTCATTTCTATATCGATAGATGGTCATTTCCATACTAATATATATTCATATATGTTCATTTATATAATGATAGATGTTCATTCCCATATCGATCATGTCAATTGTTATATTCACCTATGTTCATATTCATATAAAAATTGGTTTATTTTAACACTTATTCTGATCTTCCTCGAATCTAATACATTAATTTATATATTTTGTCTATTAGTTAAACAAAGAATCGTAGATATAGTGAGTTAGACCACACAATAGCAAGGAAAAAAGGAAGAACATAAATAATGAAATCAAGAAGGCATGGATTCGTCAAACAATATGAACCAATAACACGAGCTTGAATTTTTCGAATTTGGATCAAGAAGTTTATTGTGTTTGATAATGTGTGGAATTATATTATATATTTTAATATTTATTTTCATATTAATAGATATTTATTTTCATTCTGATCATTTCATTTTAATAGATGTACATTGCACTACTAATGACATAAGATGTTTATTTATTTTAATACTTGTTTACTCTCAAATTAAAAGATGTTTGTTTAAGTTTTAATATATTTTATTATCATTTTGAAAAATGTACAATTAAATTTGAATATTTATTCGTTCTCATACATAAAGATGTTCATTTTACAAGACACGTATGTTCACTTTTAAATAATTATATGTTCATATTTATAGACATCTATTTTCATTTTGATAGATATTAATTACAAAGTACGATATTAATACACATGGTTATTCACATATTAATGTATATATGTTCATTTTCAATTTAATACAAGTGTTATTATTTTGTGAAGAAGATTGAAAGACACTCAATCAAACTACTCAACAATACCAATAAAATAGTCACCCTTCCATAATATACATGCATCACATGCATGTAATTATAAAGCTACTAACTTTTCAAAAAAAAATTATATAAAAATGTTCATTTTTATATTGATAAATGCACATCATCGTTACGATTCATTATCATTTTATTCTGAACAAGTAAATACATTTATTTTGAATAAAAAATATACATAAACTTATATGTTCATTTTGATACTAAAACACCTATTATGTCATGAATTTTTTAAATTTTTTATAAAATATATTCCATCATGTAATAATAAACATTTACGCATATAAAAATAAACGTAATAGTACATATTTATACTTATATATGTTCATTTGCATATTAATGAATAGTCTATAACATATCTTATTACTTGTATGTTATTAACTTTTAGATACAGAGTACTTATTTGTTCAATAATAACTTTTGAAGGTTGTTTGTTTTATTGATCAAATAATTAATTTGCAACTGATACGTTAACCGTAATAGGTGAATTTTAATGTTCCATAATTAGATGTCCAATTATAAATAATTAAATGTTATTTACAATCATTAAAAAAAGTATATGTTCATTTATAAAATAGTACATGTTCAATCACGGTGCATAAAAGTTTTCCAACAATTTCTCCTATTCGATTTTCGTGCCTCGATTTCCATCTCAAATCAGCTCAAGCCGATGTGCTTCTTCTGATTGATCCATGGTGGTGGTGGTGGAGCGGTGATGTGACGGAATATCATCTCCTGTATCTTAAGCTGCACCATATGATGAAAGCCTTCCTCCTCTATCGTCAATACAACAATCGCAATAATCACGACTACATGAGTGCTTTAAAAATAAAAAATAATCAATTATTACAAAATTGAACATAATAACAATCATTTAAAATACAGAAATAACAAGTAATACAAAATTAAAAATCACATATAACAAATTTAAATGAATAGGAAAAATTAAATTAAATTCAAATCAATGGAATCGAAAAAATTACAATCAAATCAAAAAACACATATACATAAATCAATCGAATAGAATAAATTGCAATCAAACCGAAATTAAAACTAAATAATAATCAAAATAAAAATAGAATAATAAGAAAACAGAGCAAATACATCTATATAACTCATTCCATGGAATTGAGCTAGAAATCTCCATGGAAGAAGAGAGAAAACTGAAAAACAATCAAAAAAACAATGAAGATAAAAAATGAAATTGGTGAAAAAGAGGAAAGGGAAAATGAAGCAAATTAGGTTTGTAAATATATTTATATACTAGCTTGAATGGAAAGTAAAGAAGGAAAGGGGAAAAAAAGGTGTGGGGGGTGGGGAACAAAAAAAACCATGCAAAAGGTGATGCTAGATGAAACGACGTAGTATAGAAGGGGGGTGTAGGCAAAGATGCATACACTAGAGTTTAGGGAAAAATTTGTAGTTTATATAATGGTTTTGCTAGTCAAACATGTAAATGGGGCGGGCTTTTAAAGGGCCTTTAAATCATGGACCCTTAAATGGTTGGTCAGGCTTATATAGAGGGCTGAAAAAGGGTTATCCTTATGAGGTCTTAATCCTAATATCCTCTTTATCTCTGATAATCTCATTCTAATTCTCTCTGTCTCTCTTCACTCAAATTATAAATCCTAAAAAAAAAATTCCCAAATTTTCCTCATATTATAAACCTTAAAATTTTTGATATATCCTTGATCACCTAAAAATCAAACATACTTTCTCTCTCCTCTCAAAATCTCACTACTTCATTAATCTTTGTTTTTGTTTGTAAATTACCTTTAAATTTACAAGGTATTTATTAGTTTTATTCATCAGCAAATCTAAAAAAAATCATGGATTTGTAATTGAATTTATTAGGTCTGATTGCAATTTCTAATGCTGCAATTTTCGTTTCTGTTTGATTTCCTATGTATCCTTGATCCAAATAAGGAGGGGAACCCGAATCAAGAGGTCTATTAAAAAATGTTTTAGGAGAATTAGAAGCAACCGAATCAAGTTTCTTAACAAAGGGGTCTTTAGGGTTAACAAGGGGCACATGAATTTGAGCAGAATTTCTAGATTTCATCAATAATTGAGGTTGAAGAGATGAAATTGAGCAAGAAGCCATGAGCACCTACAAACAGTTTGATATGGACAATAATATGAGAATTCTCAAGCTTTGTAGTCTGAAATTTGTGCTTTTATTTGCTCACGAGAATTATTGATCTATATAATTGAATGGGTCGGGCCTAGCCGGGCCCAATGACCCGTGATCCGACCCGGCCCCTTCTGGACTAGCTTTAACCCTAGCCCGACCTATTTAATTGAAGCCTGGTCCGGCCTATTAAATAGGTCTAGTGAGAATCATGAGATGAGAGAAATATAATACTCCCTAAATGATTTTGTAAGTGTTATACTTACCAAATGCAGCCTTGTTTTTTTAAATGTTACAATTCTTTTTTTGTCAAAAAACTACATCTTCTCGTGATCCCCACTCAAATTCACTGCTACTAATTTTATTATTTCTTCTCTCATATTCATTACTTTTCAATAAACTATTAACCCTACTATCTTTCTTTTACAATTTTTTAATATTTCAACTAACCCACTTATCTTATTTTATTTAAGTCAATTAAGTTGTCTAAAACAATGTATCGGTCAAAGTATAACACTTAAAAAAAAACACGGAGGGAGTATTCAAAATCATGAGTAGTTTTTTTTTACCAAAAAAAGGGTGTGTAACACTTAAAAAAACGGCTGCATTTCATAAGTATAACACTTAAAAAAATAGAGGGAATATTTAATTTGAACTTATTATTAGTTTGATTTGATATTTTTTTTTTTTTTTTTGGCAAGAAGAATAATATTATTAATGAATAGCCATATTTGATTATATGCACGATAATCCGCAAGGAAAAAAATTACTAGTATAACAATTAAAGGCTTATTTAAATTGTATTAATATATATTTTTCAATATTTGATTTAAATAATTTTTTAATTATAAATTTATCGATATATTGGTACTAAAAAACCACAAATAAATCAATAAAGTCTAAACATAACTTATACAGAGTAATTTATATGATTCGCAAAGTTTGTAAATAAGGTGAACTAAACATAGTCATAGGCTCGCTGAAGATTAGCTGAATTATTATTTTTTCTAAACCTAGATGAAAATATACAAAGAAACCAATCACACTTTCCCCCCAACTTTTTAACTTTTTCGATGATCATTACCTTCTTTTTTTTCAAAGACACCAACTGAATCCATTGTACATAAGAGACTACAGGGCGCCATCACAAAGATACACAATGTACATAAGAAGATGAAAAAACAGCCCCCCAACAAAAAAATGGATACTATACAAAAATACAATACATTTTCCAAAGGCCATCCAAATGCCTCAAAAAACACAGCCACAGTCGAAGGCTGCAATTCTTTTATGCAAATAAAAGAAAATTAAAAAGTAAAAAATGCCCTCTAAAATTAGCATCTCTAAGACCTATAATCTTGTTATCCTTCACTCGAGGAAATGATCAGCAGCTTGCTGGGTGTCTAAAATTTCAGCAGCAGCATCGGCAATTCTTAGAGCCATTGTGGCTCTATACATTGCTAGATCTGCATTTTCCATCAGGAGCTGTGCTCTCTGACGTTTAAGTATGGCTAGCTCCACAGATTTGTCTGCCGAAGCTATTGCTTCCTGTATTCTAAGGACTGCGCTTTGTTCCTCTGCAGCATTATGCTCAGCAGCTATCACTAATCAAATTTAAACAATGAATAGATTAATAGAGTTCTAATACAAAAGCTAGAAAATTTGACAGACAATAGCGATGAAAGGATTTTAATACCTTGAAGAACATTACTATCCTTGCCTCGACCTCGATGCATAGGCTGAACAGTCTGCCGTTTCAGAGATCTTTTCTTGCGTAACACAGGTTTTGTAATCAATTGCGTTTTCGTGGGTTGGTTTAACTGTCAAAACGAAATTCCATGTAAGAAAACACAGAACAGAAGATACATCCGGAGATGAAAGTTGCTAATTTGTAGCAGCTCGCAGTTGTTTATCTGACTAACAGTCCAGAGAGGTTTCACATCAAACTCATTTTTTTTTAATCTTTATGAATTAGGGAGGGAGGAGGGCCTAACTTACCTACCTACTCATCAATCGCGTAGCCAAACTGACGCATCAACGTTTCACTTTTGTATTTTAATTCACGCGGGACCAGGGGGGGAGATGGGCTGCGGGGCAGTGGATGCAGTGTAGAGAGGGGTAAGCCAAACTGACGATGTAACAAGCATGAATGTATGTAAGTTTTTTCCCTTTCTCGTCTTTATAATTCCCTAAGGATACAGACACTACAGAGGGCCAGAGGGGGGTAGCCAAAATCACTAGCATGTTTATGGATAAAATATTAGTTTGCAGAAATATATTCAAACAGCAGAGTATCCTCTATAGACAGAAAAATTGCTATGTGCTGCATCCAATGTTTACATTTTGAGCAAGAACTGCACTGAAGTGATAATCTTAGGTTAAATAACGCAGATACAGGTTTACTCTAATTGCTTTTGGGATGATCAACATAATTTGCGCCTGGTGGAATAAAGCACACACACAAACAAAAAATAAAAAATTTAAAAAAAAAAAAAACAAAATGAAAAGGGAGTATCTGAAACTACGGAATGACATAGTTGCTAGTGTAGACGAAACAAATAACCATAAACAACTGAACAATTAGCTAGATATTTAAAATTCAACACAATCTGAACAACTAAATAGCTTTGACTCAGTGTATAAAGGGAAGAAACCTGTATTGAGCACATACTTGTCAAAATACATGTACAAAGAAATATTGCATTAAAGCATGTACCTGGAAAACTCTAATCAGCGGGGCACGTTTCTGCTTCCTCTTCTTCATCCAATATCTATGTACCTGCTCAACTACATCCGAAATAATTACTACATCCATACACAATTTAGCAGCTTCTATTTCATCATTGACATCATCCCGTTTACAATAAGAAGCTTTCTCGAAAGAATCAATTGCTAATTCAAAGCTCTCTTCAGAAAGATGATTTGATGCTTCCAGCTCACTATTGAGCTTGCTTAGCCACTCTTCATCCTCAGAATCCATATCATAGTTCGCTGTCTTCCTAGATAAAGTTCTAGATAGTTCATCATTGGCTGTTCGAATGTATGACTCTGGTCTAACAAAGGCACCAGGGGGATCCCATGAATTGGTCACTTCACATACCCAAGGTACAGGGATAATTTTAACACCCGGGGACGTTGGTACAATGTTCCTTTCCCCACATACCTTATAAAGTTCTTTAAACACTGCCCAATCCTTCCGGACAGGAAACTCTAGTTTCCACCCATTCTCCGATGCCCAAATCACAGCATGAGTAAAACGGTTGGTTGTACAGGGTCTCATTTCTTTTTGAATCTTTAAGGAATATTTTGTTGTCCCATCTGTTTTAATGGCAAGAAGCCACTCATTTGATGCAGAGGTGTCTAATCTGACCTCTGCCCCCTCAACTCTGTAACACTTGTCTGCTTCTACAATCAGGACATTAGCAGTACAAAACTGTGAATCAGGATCCACATTCCAGCTTGATAGGTCGGACTTTTGCACAGGAATTTCACTCACAGAACTCTTTCGAAGAGACCTACGAAGCTCCTGTTTACAAGCTAAAGGTAATGCAGGGTGGGCTTTTTTCTTGGAAACATGATTAGATACTGATGGTCCAGGTGATTTCTGCAAAACAAAAGGTAACGGGTTTCTAGCCCTCCGACTCCTTAACGACCGCCTCCGCCTCTTTGAAGCACTTCGTGTAAGAACCCCAATCCTACCTTGCACATTTCGACTGGATAACTTACTAGCCCCAGGAGACAAATTTACAGACTTCATACCCTTGGACTCATCTTTAGCAGGGGCAACTAATCTGTCAGGGGGACTCTCACTCTGGTCATTGACGAATGTAAGGGTTTCATCAGAACTCTCATTTTTTCGGTCAAAATCGTACCAACATAGACAAGACAGGCGCACCGACCTAAACAACATTGTTGCATGTAGGTGCAGAAAACACAAGGGAGCAGCCGTATAGTCAAGTGTAAACATTGCTATAAACTGCCTCACCCCGGAAATTCGGCATAAACCTTTGCTCTTGTTTGACACACAATTCTGAAAGACAACAACAATTACACAGGCAGAAAATTAAACATTTTAAACATCACTATACACATCCAACCAACGCTAAAATGAAGTAGCAACTATATTTCCACAGTTTTAACACCAATCATAAAGTCAAGCATTCACAAAATCCTCAAAATCCTCAAAATCATAACAAAAACAAAAACAAAAATGCAGAACATACCCACAAGAAATGAATGCCAGACGAGGCAAAAACAGGCGAAACCGGACTCAAAAGCAGGAACGTCGAAATTTCACTTAAACCAACTCTTTCTTTACTCAAATACTTAAGAAGTGAACTCAAAACACTTGAAAACAACAAACATCCATCACAAGAAGAATCGACGAAAACCGATAACAACCCTTGATCATAATACCCTTTAATTACATCATCTGCCTGCTTCTTTTCAGTTTGCCCACTTTTTCTCCTTTGCCTTCTCACAAAATGCAAACCAAACTTCTTACTATCAGATTCACCAAAACCCTTCAAATTCCTCACATTATAACGCTTTCTTTTCCTACTATAAACATTCCTAAATATTCTGCTATTAGAATAATAACTCCCATTTCTTAAACTGGGCACTCTATGACTAATTTCCGGCTCCGGCTCAGGCTGCGGTCTCGGTATCGGAAACGGTTTTGCATCATCAACATCCATTGGATCAGACCTATCATGCCAACCATTAATCTTCTGTTGCTTAAACTTACCACTATCATTGGAAATCAACGGAAACCAATCGTCCCCATTTTTAACTCCTCTGTGCTTAACATCAGCAGATTCAACCCACAATCGACGCCCTGACCTTAAAACCCTAACCAATTCACCGTCTTTCGCCTTCGGAACAAACACCCTCGTCGAACGCCGCATCTCTACTGACGGCATCGGCGCCAGATTTCAAACTTCGTTCTCTCCGAGTTAACTCACTCAATTACACCGAGTCAAATCAACGATTCGATCAACCAACCCTTTGATTCTGACGCTTTTTTCAGCACATGGGTCATGTAACAACTAACAACCCAGATAAATTCACTTCAATTAACACCAAAATTTGCGACGAAAAATTTCCAAATCGGTCATCTAGATCATAACACTCACAATAAATTATCAAAAAAAAAATTAAATAACCCAGAAATTAGTGAACGAAAATTGTTCGAAAAAAGATAATTTTTTTAAAGATGGGATCGGGATTTTGTCAACAGAAATGGGACAACCTGAAATATTTTTTAGAATTTACGAAATTAATTTTGAGGGATTTGTTGTGAGGGAGAAAAAAGGGGGAAGAAGAAGAACAGGGGAGAAGAGGAGGCTGAAAGAGAAATATCCATTTTTTAGGGTTTAGTAGTGGTGGAAGAAGAAAGAAAACTACTGTCGAATAAACTACTACCTGACTAAAAGAGAGCCGTTGGATGAGAAAATTGACGGTTGAGATTTGGAGAGAGAGTGAAGATTGATTCGATGGTGTCTCCAAAAGACTGGACGTTTCGGGGGAATTGATTTTTATTTTTTTGGTTTTATTTAAATTTAAAAGAAGTTGACGAAAATAACCTTGAGCGGACCCCACGTTTAAGGTGGGGAGATTGAATGGATATTTTTATTGTGTGAAGAGTGAGGACCCATTCGTGTCCTTTTGTTAAGGGGGTCTTAGCCAGGATTAATTAGATTTTGCCAGTTGTATCTTGCGGTAGAGTTTAGAGTTTAAAAGCGGTTTAGTCCTCGTAATACTATTAGACCATTCTCAGCAGTGAGGAAAAAAAAAACCTCTCAATCTCTCTCTACCCACTTTCTCACTCCTCCCATACAATTTCTCTCATCAAATGTTTTTTTCACCACAGTAATGAGGAGAAAAAAAACCTCTCATCACTTTCTCCTCCACTATTTTTTAATTTATTTTTTAATTACGTTTAAAAATAATTTAATAAAAATTTATAATTACGTTTAAAAATATTAATAATACTAACTGGAATTTTTTTTTATAAGAAATAATTATAATAATAATAATAACAAGAAGAAATTGGGAAAATATGTTAATTTCTCTAATTTATGGGTGTTTGGCAAAAGGGATAGAGATAACGAGAATTAAAAAAGTGAGATAAGGTTGAGAAATTAGCAGTTAGAATAAATATAAAAAATGATGTTATCTGTTGTTGGATACTTCTTCTTTTTCGAATAAATCAAAATATAATGTTTTTTTTATTTAAAGGTTGCACTTTTTGACATTATTACCCGCTTCTTGATGAATTGTCGTCTTTTTTTTTTGACATTATTACCCACTTCTTGATGAATTGTCATTTTTTTTAACATCAATTTCCATCACTTTCTCTCTCTCTTCAATTACTCTAGTTCTAATCATTAATTTTAAAAAATTTACAACTTTTTTAATTCTCGCGTAAAAAGCTAAAAAAAACATTGTATTATGAGACAGAAGGAGTAATTTGCTATGAATTTGGAATTAAATTGGAATTAATAGTAAATTTACTTAAGTATTGTTACTAACTTTTTTCCTCTCCCCTTTCCCTTTCCTTAATGCTAAAATTATCTTTTCACTTTCATTAGGTTTAGGTTAAGCAATAGAATGTGGATCGGGCTAAATTCAAGTTATAAAATCATTTTTTTTTTTTTTTGGAAACCGAGTTCTAGAATCATCTAGAGTTACTTGGAAGTATAAAGAGAAGATATAATAGGCGAAGGTAGGATATTTTTTTTTTAGTCTTAAAGGTTAGTAAGGATAAATAACAATTTTCAAAATTATTTATGCATAATCAAAATTTCGACTAACATTTAATAAACTGAAAATCTATAATTTATAATTAATACTAAAATAGCAACTGATGACATCATCCTATTTTAAAATTGTACACGTGTCAAGTATGTCATTATTTTATTATTCTTACTAAGTTAGACCCGTTCATCGCACGGTTTTTACAAAAATTATGCTCATTTATTTGCTATGTACTTTTAAATGATTTTAAACTTATTTCAAATCATTTTTTTTCTAATTTATAGATAGTAGCATTTGCAGCCAGTACTTGTGGTGCCATTAGAGAAGTCGTGAAAATAGAAGAAGAATAGTTCTTTAGGATCAAGGAATTCGATACCATATAGAAAATGGAGAGAATATATTGAGGGAAGTTGTTAATTTGCATTGATTATAAGCAGCATATTTATGGTGATTACCAGAGTACTTTCTTTGTTCCACAAATATTGCAACAAGAATGAAATTATGCATCTCAAAACACATTTTATATGCTAAATATCTATAATTATATAAAAGTATAAATTATAAAAAGTTGATATTGTGAAAGTATTTTATGAGACGAATCTAACAAGACCCAACATGACTATATTTTAATTTACGTATAAATCATAATATGTGGTCAAACAAGTGTGATAAATAGTGTAAAATTCCAGTTATTGTAATATTACTAGAAAGGAGGAAGTATATGATATTGGCAACTATAGTAATTCTAGGAGGAAGTTATTACAGAATATATACAAAGCTAAAGTTTAGGACCTAACTAACAAAACAATTAATTGTTATATATAAGGATTGACCCGAAATAAGTCATCCCTTATCAAGAGGTTGTAATTTTAGACTTCATCAAAAATTCCAAAAACTATTTAATATACTCAATAAGTGCCCAAAGCAAAAGATACGTAAACTCATCCTGTGATAGAGGGGCACCCCGTGTGTGTGTATATATATATATATATATATATATATATATATATATATATATATATATATATATATATATATATATATATATATATATATATATATATATATTAAATGGGATCATGTGAGAACACATCCCTTATGTGAGAATATCAACTTATGTGAGAACAAATCTAGACCCTTGAATTAGATTCATCTGACGGCTCTTATTCAACCCACCTAATTAAGGGTAACCGGGTAATTTCACAGCTTGAATGACTACCCTTAATCTTCTCATTTTTCATTTTCACTTTCTCTCTCTTTATTACATTTTCTCTCTCCTCCTTCATATTCTCTCTCTACGAATTCATTTATGAGCTTAATCTTCTTCGCATTGTTGCATCGATCTTGCTTTAATCTTCTTCAATTCGCTCTTCATATACCTTGATTCTGGATAATTAAGGTATTTGAGTTTTCTTTTTTTGTTGTTATTTATTCAATTTTTTTTTAAGTTTATGAATTTGCTCTTTTTTGCTTAGCGATTTATGATTTCGATTATTATTGTTGAGATGTTTTTGCCGATTTTTGTTGATATTTCTCACGATTAGGTGTCTAATTTGTAGAATTTAATTATTGATTTTTTTTGTGTAATTTTTTATTTTGTTCTATATTATTTAATTAGGGTTTTATTCTATTTTATTTTATTTCGTATCGTTTCGTTTGATTATTGATGACATTGATAGATCTAGTTTGCTTGTGAATTAGAATGGTTTTGTGGATTGGATCTGTTTAGAATTGTTGTTTTTATCTATCCGTTGTTCTTGGTTCTTTAGGTGGAGCATTGTGATTGTTACTAGACCAGGTATTTGTCATGATATTTAGTCTTTTTGTTGTTCGATTTTCTTCTTATAGTATCTTATGGATGGTTTGTTGATTGTGATTTAATGTTTATTTCGCGGTGTATTTATTTTTGTTCGATTGGTTTCGATTGTGATGGTTGATTAGGTTTTCTTGTTCTTATATGGCTTATAGTATGACAGGACTATAGAATTTTTTGGAAGGGGTTAAGGTTTTGTACCTAGGATTATACCGTGCTCAAGTAGGGTTTTGTTTTTTATATCAAGGGTGTAACTGTGTAATGCAAATGTTTGTATGATGAAGGTGTGAAGTATTAAGAGTCGCGACTAGGGATAAAACGCCCCGAGTGGTTGTTTTTGATAGTGTGAGTGTAATTAGTTCAAGCATTTGTGTGAGGGAGTAAGATCCCTTTGGTTAAATTTCGTTGTTCCTCGTGTCTTTGGTAAAATGTGAGGCGACTATGTCGTGGCTGTGATGTGTGCAACAATGTTTGAAGGAGGGGTTGGATTTGCTATGCTAATAGGGCTTTGCTTTAATGATATGTATTAGTAGGTGAAGATGTAGTAGCTTAATATTACCACAAATCTATTATCAATATTTCTTAATGAAGTAGTAGATGTGAATTTCACTGTGTTAAACAAACTCATCTATTAGACTCAGGGATGGTTATATATTTTGGTGCCAAATTTGGTTAATTTTAGGAAAACTTTGTATGTTTTTGGCTTGGAATAGTGTGGTCAAAGTCTATATCTACATTGGACTTTCAAATGCCTTACTCGGGAAATTAGGTGAGTTATATTGTTGTAAAAGAGTCTTGGGTAACATGATTTTCTGCCTAGAGGGTGGCTGAGTCCTTAAGTCATTTGAATGTTGGGGCTGGTAATTACCTGGTACTAAATTTCAGTGAGACAAAAACTGCTAATTTTAGTTCTGACTCCAGAAAGAATCAAAGAATAGATGATTCCAGACTTTAGTTATTATTAGATGCGCAGTATGCATTGTAGGCATGCTTACTGCATTTATAAGGATTGTTCATTATTAATGAGAATTGCTCTGATCTCTGATCAATATCCTATATTTTGAGTCATTAAGTAATAGTTGATGTCTGGTTGCTCTTATTGACTGAGTAACAAGAGATTGGCTTGATATATATGAATCTAGTCACATACCATTCGCCGAGGCTATTACAATGGATTCTCACCATGAATGGGGGATGTTATAATCTGCGATTTAGTTAGCTTACATTTTTTTTTTTTGGTTTTTTTTTGTAATAGTGCTATGGATTCTTCAGTTGCTACTGATCTTAACAATGCTAAAGATTATACAGATGTACATTTGGAAAGGATAATGTACGTGTTTTTTTATTTCCTTATTTTATGTTTTCTTATTAAATGCTTGCTGATTTAATGAATTATTAAAGAAATGCTTGCTCATTTGACATATGAGCAAATAACTATTTGCTTATTTTCTAAATGAGCAAAAAACTGATTGCTCATTTCTCAAATGAGCAAACTAATGTTTGCTCATTTCACAAATGAGCAAACTAATGTTTGCTCATTTCACAAATGAGCAACTAACTATTTGCTCATTTCACAAATGAACATGTGTGTGTTTGCTCATTTGTGTAAAATTAGCAACTAAATATTTGCTCATTTGACAAATGAGCAACTAACTATTTGCTCATTTGATAAATGAGCATCTAAGTTTTTGCTCATTTGTTAAATTAGCAACTAAGTATTTGCTCATTTGACAAATGAGCAACTATTTATTTTGCTTATTTTACAAATAAGTAACAAATTATTTGCTCATTTGACAAATGAGCAACTAACTATTTGTTCATTTGACAAATGAGTATCTATGTTTTTTCTTATTCGTTAAATCTATGTGATATTTGACTTTTTTTTATGATTTTGTATCAGCAGGAACTCTATTGAAAAGGAGTCTGCTGCCAATGCTGGTTCATCAGGGGCGGCTGCTGTCGATGCTGGTTCATCAGGGGCTGCTGCCGATGCTGGTTCATCAGGGGCTGCTGCCGATGCTGGTTCATCAGGGGCTACTACTGATGTTGATTCATCAGGGGCTCTAGTGGCAGAAGAGAAGATCAGTGAAAAGAAGAAAAAGAAAATAAAAGTAGTTGCTACTAAGGGTAAAGGAAAAAAGGTTGAAAAAAGAGTGAAAGAAAAGCATAATGTGAAGTTTGAGGATCTAGACGGTGAAGATGCTGTTGATGAAGTGCAGGGATCAAAATGTGTTGTTTATGGGACGTTGCGTAATAGGATGTCACCTTCATCTGTCGTTAATGTTTTTAAGGAGTTTTTTGAAGATCAGTTGATTGCGATTAGAGCTATAGGATTTGGGTCCTTGGAGTTTTTGAAAGTGTCCCAACTGCCTTTGCAATTGGGTTTTTGGTTGTTCAAGCACTTTGATGCTCATAGTTGTATGTTGAATATTCCTGATTCCG